AATGTGAAAATGGAACTGTGCTCTCAATCTCTGTCAGAAGAGCTGTGCTCTTAGTTTAAACTTTACCCTTTAGCACCACTTAGCAGTCACAAATTGTAATAGCAGAGCCCTCATTGCAGTTAACATGGGAAATGAGAAATACGGGCAGCTGAAATGAGGAGCTGCGTTGGAGGAGCAGGGCGGATCGGGCTTTTGCAGTTTGGGGGCTCAGATGGAGAGGCAGAAGGCAAACACGTGCAGGCAGTCACTGAGATCTTCCACTTAGAAAAACAAATGACACACAAAAAGTTCATCTGGTGACATAAGAGGTCCCTGGAATTGCTTTGCTGTACAGTCAGGACGTGGCAGTGGGGGCTGAGTCAGGATGGAGGAAATGTGAGCAGCCTTTTATTTTCTGTGAAGGGGCAGATGGCACTGCTGGGAGTCACGGATGTCCAGGGAAAGAATAAGAGAGTGATGCATTTAGATTTGAGTGTAGCTGCATCAGAGGGAAACAGGGAGCCTTGTATGTAACTCAGTGCTCTCCATAACATGCTGAGGTTTGTCAGCACACCAAAAGGAGATTTTCTGTGGTGCCAGCAGTTACTTAAAGTTGGGAGCTTTTGTTGCACGTCCTGCCATACCAACTAACAACAAATAGCACCCAGGAAGGAAGGCTTACCCAGGGGCACAGCACTCAGCACAAAAGGAATGGTTTCTTCAGTTTTTCAATTATGTGTTACACTGATGTGATCGATTAACAACCTCGCTTTCTGATTGCATTTGTTCCTTAGGGCTGCTTCTTCCTTTCCTTGTTTTGGAATTATGATTGTTTTCAGCAGGATTGGGCCACGTTCTGGGGTTTTTTCCTAGCTCCACTTCACCACAGAAACACTTCTGCTGGAAGCTCTGTGTACCATGGGCTGGAACAGCCCTGACACTGAACTTGTTTGTTTCCTGCCTTGTAACTTTGGCTGTGCTGAGCAAACACAAATCCTTCCTGCATGGTAACTGTTGCTATGTGCAAAATAATGAGAGGTGGGCTGCTGCAGCCTCGTGATGAGTTGGGTGTAATAGCAATGCGTTTTAATTGTCTGACAGGGCAGCTTAATGTCAACTCATCTCACTATTAGATGCTTAATGTTGATGTTTCACTTCTTTCTGTCTTCAGTATTCCCACAGAGCCTGACAACAGTGTCTGACAATGATTAATGGTCTCTTTTTTAAGTAGCTGGGGTATATCACATGGTGCCCATTCCTTCTGCATCTACAGGAAAAACTCTGTGACTCGTTTAATCTTGTGTAAACTGACAGCTTCTATCTGATTTGCAGCACTGGGCAGCACCCTTCTCAGGGTCTGTCTTTGGATGACATGAGGAGGAACTTCCAGTACCCTCCAATAGACAAAAATGGTGAGTTACTGCAGAATATTCCTCCTAGCATCTCAGTATGGTTAAACAATGCAGAGCTGCAGTTTTCTGGCAGCCTGATAAGAAAGCTGAGCTTCAGTGCACACTGCTAGTTACAGCGAGGTCTCGCCCCATTCTCCTGCGGCTCCTGGCCCCCTTTCCCTCTGCACCCTAGGCTTTTGTGCATGTGGATCTGTGAATAAGGAAAGAATGTGGCATTGTCTCCTCAAGGCTGCTCTTCTACTAAAAAAAAAAAAAAAAAAAAAAAAACATAAACAAAAGAAACCAAAGCACCTGGACCATCCTATTTCTGAAGTATCACAGCAGCAGGAAGCTGCACAACCTTTCCTTCTCAACATTCTCACTCCTCTCAGAAAAAATCCCATCGTTCTGCTCCCACCAGAGCAGAAGTTCTGGCAGCTCCTTCCTTTTGTCATCTTGGCTTTCCATCCCATCACACTTGAGCATATTTTTATGCACCATCAATGCAGCTTTCTGGTGCATCCTAGTCCCTGTAAAACTCTTGCTAGATAGCCGTTGTTCAGGTCTCAGTTTGCAAGCAGCAATTTGGAAGTCTGCTTCTTGCTCCTCCATTCCCCATTTCTGAATGGCTTGTGAAGTGAGCAGCTGCTTCTTTGCAGTTAGAATGTGTAACAACCTTTAAAGGGCATATGAACATGCAGATGGTAGAAGGGATGCAGACCTTACCTAAATCTTTGTTTCTTGGTGTAGAATCTAGAAGTTGAATGTTAATTTCACCTTCATGAGATTTTCATGCACCTGAGGCTCAGCTGAGCATCCAAGAAATGACTCCTGTGGTTAAAAGCAGCTTTGGCTGCGTGCAAGCTGTCAGGCAGTGCAGGGTTTGTGCTTAGCTGTGAAGCAACAGTAAATCCCTGTTCAGTAACTTCCTGTCCAGCACTGTAGAAGTGGGCATATCTATTGAGAACATGATTTTGGAAATGCTCCAGCTGCCATCTCACAATGCTGCTCATTCCACCAGCATGAGCTGCTCTGTTTGCCTGAACATCCTAAGATGCTTCAGGGACACGTTGACAGGATGTCACTTCCCTGTTTATGTGATGACACAGCCAGAGCTCATCCCCTGTGAACGCAACATTCAGTGAGCAGAGCTGAGCACAGCACGGTGCAGTTACCTTCACCTCATGACAGCACCACAGATGGTGCTTCTTGTGTTTGCCCAGAACTTCCCAGACAGTCTTGCTCTTCCCAGCCCCCCAGCCAGGCATGACATGCCAGGAAACCCTGCTTAGCATAGCAGGAAGGTATTTTCTGACATGATTGCTCATGGTTGGCAGTGGTGCCAGTATGCACAGCCTCACTTGATGTGAGGCAAAACTCCAATATACTCTTACCAAAGAGCCACAGATCAGTTAAAGACTGAGGCTTCAGCACTGCCTGTGTCAGCCATCTCTGTAGTGGGCAAAGGAGACAAACAAAAATGGTAGGAGTCATGAGCTGATGGTGGAGTACGGCAGCAACATCAGTGCTGAAGAGCAGAGCTGGACAGTGAAGGACAGCACAGACCTGTGAGGAATATTGAGGATGTGAGTGAAATCTCCTTTAAGCAATGCTTCATCGCCCAGCCCTCAAAGTACAGCATGCCCTGATTAGAAGATAAATCAAGGTTCTCTCTGGCTGACAATTTCTCCATGGCATGTTAGGTGGAAAAGCACATTGGAAATACAGCTCTCTTAAGAGCAGCTGCTGTTCATGTTGCCGCCAGAATGCAGGTTCTGAGCTCTCTGAAACCCTAATTGAAAGGGAAAAAATGAGGTATTTTCAATGTCAGATTCCCCTGTGCTATTAAAACAATGAGATTCATGGTTTTGTGCCACTCACCAAAGCTTCTTTGTGCCTATCACGATCTCTTCCCCTGACTGATCAGTCTGCCTACTTCCCATTTAGATTTTTCCTGTGTAGATGAGGTTGGAGACTTGCAGACAGCTAGAAGGCCTGTGCCCACATCCCAAAAGAGCATGCACATCATTTTGTTGTCACTGTCACTGCAGAGGAAGGCAGAAGTAGCACTTCTCCCCCATGTGAGGATGCACTGAGCTTTGCTCTGCACCTTGCAGGTTATGTGTCGGACCCCATGAGCACCATGAGGTTTCACTCCTGCAGCAGCAGCTTCGAGGAGAGCAGCTGACAGCACAGTGACTTCCTGCAGAGGGCTGCCAGGACCTGAGCAGCAGGAGTCAGACTGGGCAGCCCAGAACCGAACCACTTCATCTGCTGGTGGTGAGCATCCCCCTGATGAGCTTTGTGCCATCACCTGCTGCTGCTGACATGGAAGAGGCAGCTTCTTTCGGTGGTGTGTATCTGATTTTAACAAAGCTTTTACTAAAATCACATGCTTCAGTCTTTCAGTAACAAAAAGACTAAAACAGGCACTCCAAAACAAACCTTCAACCAGAAGGAAAACCTGCAATGAAGCCAGGTTAAGAAACAGAATACAGAGCAGGGAAGCGGACTGTACTTACATCCATACCAACATGCACCCACTTATGGCTGCTTTGTACCATCTCCTGGTAATACATCAACAGCAGACACTTGAAAATAACAGGAAAAGCTTTTATGGGCAGAAAAGTCTTTACCTGGCCAAGTGCTTGTAAACATCTTTACTGGTAATTAAAATAGCTGGCTCCTTGAAGAAAGCGGTTTTTGTTAATTGGTCTCTCTGAACAATGCACCAGGTTTCAGAGGAAAGCATGTTGTAGAGCAGTGATCATTTACCAATACAAATGAGAACTCTGCAAAATGTAAATTACTGAACAAAATCACACAGAATCACAGACTGTCAAAGAATAGAAGGGTCCTGAAACAATCACCCAGTCCCAGCCCTCTGGGAGAGCAGGACCAGCTAGATCAGGTCACACACGAATGCACCCAGGCAGGTTTTGAATGCCCCCCCAAGCTTTGTGGGCAGCCCAATCCAGTGTTGTGTTATTCTCACTGTGAAGAAGTTTTTTCTCACATTTACGTGGACCCTCCTATGGTCCAGTTTGCACCCACTGCCCCTTGTCATGTCATAGCACACCCTAAAAGTCATTTGCAGGAATGGAATTCATTCGTGCCATTCCCTGAGAAGTCAAAGAAACATGTTGAAATTCTCATACAGAACATGACAGTGAGGTTTCTTTTCCTACTTTTAAGGACAGCAGTGCCTGCAACCACAGCAATATTTCAGATTGTTACATTGAGACATACATACCAGGAATAGATGATCTACAGCAAAACAAACCATCACCCCAGCAAGTGAGCCATACCTCCCACCAGCACTCAGCCTGGTACCCACACCTGGCCTGTCCTGCTGGAGCCCAGGCACAGCAGGCAGAGCTGGGGCCAAGGGTGTGAGCCAAGGTGGGCTGCCATGGGCTGCAGGCAGCAAAGCAGCCATGATGCTCCCCTTGTGCAACTGTGCACACAAATCACTGAAAATCCCAACCCGTGAAACCCAGCTCATTGCATGAGCACTGGAAACATTTCTGCATGTGTGCACACACCAGTGAGGTCACAGTCCCACTTCACAGTGAGGCGCTTGTAGTTTAAAAAGCCAAATAACAGACAGACAAATGCACAGAGAGGAGATAAAGCCAAGCACGTTTACTGTCAAACACACATCCACAGGCCTGCAGTAGCACAGGGGGCAGGCAGCAGGGGACACTCAGTGCAATACTGCTCTGTGCTTCAGAGAATCCAAGAGTGGCAACTGCAGGACAGTGCTGGTAGTTATGGACTTACACACTGCAGAGCTGCCGTGGTGTGTGAGCGATGGCTGAGGTACTGTGAGTAATACAGAACATCCACAGGGCACAGATCAATGGTCGGTGTGAACGCTGTGGGAAGGAGCACTGAGTGACTGAAGAAAAGGCTCAGAGAATAGTTTCTTCCTTGTCCTGGGGTATGACAACAGCGTCCAGGTTTACATCCTAGCAACAAGATGATGTTTGGCTTCACTGAAAATGCCTTACACTGATGAACGAGTGCACTGCTGTCTGACATTCCCTCCCATTAGCTGCCAGAGTGACCTGGGAAGCAGTTTGCATGCTGACCCACAGCATGGGGCTCACAGGGATGGCTCTGCTCTATAGCAGCACAGGGCAGAACACAGCTGCCAGAGTGTGAGGGGACAGGCAGACACGAGCCCCAGCAGCACCGGGCAGAGTGTGCCCTGGGCACCAGCATACAGAAGCTGCTATGCAAAAGCATCTCTCACCCCCACACCCCAGCTACCACAGGCAGGTACTTAAGGGGAGTACAGCAAACAGGGCAGCAGCACAGCATGACATTCTGCTCCCACCAGCCCCAAGAGGAAGGTACCAGCAGGGCCCAGGCAGCACTCACCTCACTGTGGCCATGCTCCCTTGTTCAGGACTCCCAATCCTCTGTTCCTGTGCATCAGAGCAGCCCACAGTTCCTTCCAACACAGCCTCCATCTCTTTCCTCTGGGTACTTTCTCCAAGGCCCAGCTCTGGCAGCTTCCCTTCAATCTGCACTCCTGCTGGCACTGTGTCCTCTGGTGCTGCCCCCGATGCAGGCACTGCAGGCTGCTGCCCCCACAGTCCCAGGCAGCCTCTGCCCTGGGTTCCCTGTGCTGCCTCCAGGGCCTCGCACCCCATCACACCCTGGCCTGGAGGCCTCCCCTCTCCCAGCACTGCCTGCTCCCCACCTGTACCACACTCCAGCAGTCCCTGCCCCATGGCCACTTGCTCTTGTGGCCCTGCTGCTCCCCCTCTCACCTCTTCATCTTCTGACTCAGCTCTGGCTCTCTCTTCAGACACTCCCATCACCACCCGGTCAGATTTTTCTTCCATTGCTCTGTCTGTCTTTGCAGCACTGCCAAAAGGGAGGCTTCCACTCAAAAGTACTATTGCTGAGCCCTCCTCATCCCCTGCTGTTACTGTCTGCTCCAATGGAGTTGACCCTCCATTGGCTGAGTCCCTTCCAGCATCCTCCCCAACTTCTCGCCCAGGTACTGAGTGTAATGCAGGGTCCCTGCCTGAGTCCTCGGGCTCTTCCATGTCTTCTGCCCTTGGTTGAGAGCTGCCCTCCTCCTCTGGTGGTCTGTCAGGCTCAAATGTCGCTGTCCCAAGGGCATCCATTTCCACCTGCTCTTCCTCTGAGACTTGCAGCTGACAAAACTCATTTGGCTTTAGGATCTCTTCCTTTCCAGTACAAAATTCTGTATCCTCTGATGTTCCTGGGAGAGCCCCAGCTTCTTCCACAGTCTTCTGCCCTTCAAAAGCAGCTTTTTCTGTGGCCCACACTGCTGCAAGGTCACCCACCTCAGGAGTCCCTTCTGCCAGGTCTGCATCCTCTGCAGCTCCCCATCCCTCAGGCATCATCCCCCCTGAAACAGACACTGCTGTTCCCACCACCCTCTGCTCCTCAGAGGCCTCATCCACAGCCCTCTCTCCTCCAGTGATCCCCCTGGCCCCTCCCACACCCAACAGTGCCCCCATGCCCACCTGCTCCTCTCCCTCACCTGCTGGGTCCCTCCATGGCCCCATATTCTCCCCTGCACCTGTGGGAGCATCCTGATCCTCAACCTCCACACCTGGCTCTGTCCCCATCCCTGGTTCCCTCTCCTCAGCATCACCTTCTGTCATTGCACCCTTGGCAGGTGCCAACTCATCCACAAGCAAATGCCTCTCAGGGGCTACGGCTGCTTCCTCTCCCTCAGGCTGCAGCTCTCCTGCCCGTGCTGCTGTGTGCCCACCACAGTCAGTGCCAGCATGCCCTCCCTCCTCCCCATGGTCTTTCCCCACATGTGCCACTTCCACTGCTTCTGACTGCGTGCTGGGTGCTCCTGTTGTGTCTGCCAGGACAGCTCCACCAGCTGCTGCTGAAAGACAGAGCGTTTGTTTCATTGTGAGCTGTTAATGGCGAGGCTGTTTTACAGGTTTACTCTCAAATACATGATTTCTAACAAGCAGTGAGGGGGCAGCAGCACAGTGCCAAGGAGGCTGAGATGCTGCTTCTCCTCCTGCACCTGCGCTGTGACCAGGCTGCTGGTGCTGCCATGCAGGCATTGGGCACAATCAACGTAAGCAGAAACACTGATGCATCATGTCCTGCTCTGCCTGTTCTGCCCTTCCTGCCTCTCTCCCCACTCGCTGTCTGCAGGGATGTACACAACATACCTACAAGCATGACAGTAACATTCAGAAATTCACAAACAGGCAGTTAATTGTTCATGCAAAATATGCATAAATATGAAGGAAAATACTCAGGTGCTTGTGTGCAATGGGTAACTGCTTCCCACGGACTCCCTAATTACACTGGGGATAACCAAGGGCCTTCACTCATCTCTGGGAATCTAACGCAGTGCTCCCTCATTTCAGTGGTTCCAGGACCCATCCCTGAGTGATACACCAACTGTGTCACAGCCATGCTTTGCGCAAACACAGCATGCTCTGGTTCTTTAAAGAACTGAATGTTTTGTGCCACTGAAGGGAGCAGAAGCTCTGCCTCTCCTGTGCCACCCTTCCTCAAACCAGGAAAAGGCTGTCTTGTCCCACACCATCTCTCCCTGTCAGACTCACTTCACTTTCCTGCACTACTGCTGCACTCCACAATTGCTTTCTGCTCGGGCGATTGCACATGCCACAGAATCCCATCTTGGTCTCATGAGGTCAGGTCTGGAGTTCAGTCTCATTCCTATTCTGTTGTTCACAACCCATGTAAGCAGCCCTATGCCACCTGCCTTGACACCTGCCTTCTCCAGAAGGACCCATACCACTCGGAAGGAAGGGAAACTCACTAAGTGATCCCTGTCCCCCCTCAGCTGTTTTCACGAGGTGTTTACATGGCCTGGATTCCTTACCCTGGGTCACTGTAACTGCTAAGAGCACATCAGTTACACGTGGCTGCTGGAGCTGGCCGGTCACGCAAGCTGAAAAAGAAAAGAGCACAAAGGAGGACTTGAAAGCCCAGAAAGCAAAGTGAAAAGGCCAACAGTCTGTAGAAAGACTTCAGGTTAATAAGATTCCATCCATGCCCCTGACCTGCAGCCTCACCTTCACTGGGATCACTCTCTGCACTCGTTGCATTCTCTACTTCCTCATCCACACAAGAAACACTACATTCATGGTCAAAATTCACATGATGGTCATTTCCCATTGCCTCTGTTATCTCCTCCTGTGCTGATCTATCATCTTCAGAAACTAGCACAAAATCACAGAAGAAGCAAGGAAGAAAAACCATCAGAAAGCAGGAAGGACAAAGTCCTTCAGTTCTTGCAGCCTGACTGGAGGTATGCAGGGTTACTGCAGAGTGATTGGCACCAGGATCTTCTTTTTAGATTAACATCAAACAGAAACAACCATTAGAAAAAAGGGAGGGGTTGAGAGCAGGGGGAGAAATTCATGCAGGAGCACCTACTGAGACGTTAATCAGCCATCTTCCACACCACATTCACAGACCTGCAGGATGCTTCTGTGAGGATGGAGGGATTCAAAACAAGCAACAACACTGACTAAGGGACACAAAATTGTAGTTGTTCCATAACTGTTTTTCTTTAAAAAATGTGCTTCTCTATTTTAAGCTGCCAACTACATTTCTGATGATTCCTCACTTCCTCAAACTAAGACATGTGACTCAAGTCCTCTACTTATCTACAGGTAAGTTGGGAAGTTGCCCTCTGCCCTATACTTGCAGTGGCTGTGATGCTTCACAGTCAGCCCTTCACTGCAAGGGAGATGTAAAGGCCCTGGATGGTGCCCAAAGAGAGGCAAGGAAGCTGTGAAGGGATACATGGGTACCTTCTGGTTGTTTATCACGCAGAAATACAGTGTTGTAGCAGCTGGAAAACAGTCCAGCAACTGATTCTCCATGCTGACTATGACAGTGCTTGAGCATAACACACAGGCAAATACAGCAACACTCGCATGCACTGATCACAACACAGTTCTGCACAGGGACTGTACTCACCACCTCCTTCATCACTCTGAGGAGACTCTTCATTTCCATCCTTCACTTCCATCATATTTTTTTCCAAAGGCACTGAAACATTTTTCTCCCCACTGTCCCTTCTGTTGTTTGCTTTCTTCTCCTCTTCTCCCCTTATGCTACTTTCCATTGACCCAGCCTGTTTCATTTCCCCAGTAACATCAGGACTTTGATGCTGTATCTCCAGTATGTTTTCATGAAAAGCTTCAGTATTTTCCCTTGATGTCAGAGCTTCTGTTTTTGTCGTTTCTGCTTCATCCATTCCTTCCTCTTCCAAAGAGAAAGTTTTCTGACTGTCCTCTGTTCTGAACAGTTTATTTTCCCCACTCTCATTTCCATATAGTGCACATGCTGTGTTATCAGATGCTTCTTTGATATCACGCTCCTCTTTGCCTTTAACATTTTCCTTCATCTTCTCAGTATCAGACTCATCTTCACTGCTATACTGAGTGCTGGTGGATGACAGAGAGGGTGCAGAGCTCCTGTCTAGAAATAGCAAAACACAAATTTAGTATTTGTTACTAAAGACCATTTGCATTCACTGGGCACAGACTGACAAGTGTCTGATGTGAACCTCTGAATTAAGCCATCTCAGGATATAGAGACAAAATTCCAGTAACAGCAATAGAAGAGCACTGTCCAAATGTATTAGTGTTAAAATCAAAGCCATGCTACATCGTTCTCTTTCTGATAATGGAAATGAACATAGGTAGCAACATCAACCACACGGAAATACACTTCCAAAAACCCCTGTAAGTACAATTTTAAAAGATTTTAGAAAAGTTTCTTGAGTGCAGTTTGATAAAAGGTTTCAACAATTGCAACGGTCCTTCAGTGCAGTCACATACAGCACTCAAGTAGAATTGGAAATGAGGATCACTGCATCCCCTAATATACATGGAACACCATGTGAAATTCATAGATGTAATTGTTCAGGAAAACAAACACTGCTAATTACCCATTAACATTTAGCTGTACAGTAGAGCTTGTTGCTCTGTTGGGCATTGCCAGCGTCCAAAGTTCACACAGATTCAAGAAGCAATTAGTCAAACTCAAAGAAGAAAAAGCTTCTTAGGCTCACTAAGCAAAAGAGACCAGTTATTTGCAGTGGTAGGAAAATCCACTGGGGAAGCAGCACCGAATTCTTGTTCATTTCTTACTCCTTTATGCATCTGAGTTTATGTCGGGTATTAAACTTCATACAAAAAGACTGGATTTGTCTCCAACCTGCAACATCTTCCACGAGCACCTGCATCATTTTTATTTCATCTCAAAAACACAAAAGTGATATTTACATTTAACTTGAGAAAAGAGCTCGCACATTAGGACTGGCAAATGAAAGGAATATAGATGAATTAATGTTTTAAAAAAGCAGTAAACGGAGAAGTCACAGCGCACTATGACAAGCTAGAGGCACATAGATCAGCTCAGGATCACACAAAGCCATAGAGGAGAAATTGAGAGAAATAAACTGCCATGCCACAAGGAAGAGAAAGTTCACTTTTGCTTATTCACCATGTGGTGAATGGAATTCTTGTACTGTTTGTCTAATAAATGAGAAACTGCCAGAGAGTTTTGCTTCTCTGTGAAGATGCGCGGCCAGGAAAGATGAAGGCCAACAGGTAAAACATTAGACTTTACAGGGGCTGATTAAAAAAACTGAATAATAGAAAATGCTATTTACATATGTATGCTAATATATATATGCTAAAATATATAAATAAAATATAAAATATTTGCTAATGTAGATATATATACGCTAACTATATATTCTGGGATAACTTAGTCTTTCTGAATTAGTAATAATAATGTCTAGAACACCTCACTGCACACCTCTGTGCCTACACCTGGATCAAGAACCACAGCACATCACACCGACTCGCTCTTAGCCACTGCCAGACTTGAACTAGAGTGCTCTGGAGGTACCCGAGGCCATGGATGGGCCCTGGGCAGCCTGAGCTGGTGACAGCACCCAGCCCATGGCAGGGGTGAGCCGGGGGGGCCGTGAGAGTCCTTCCACCCCCACCATGCTGCCATTCTATAACCCTCAAACACACAGAGCCTAAGCTCTACCTGCAGCACAGAAAGCTGAGGTGATGGCGTTTCCCTCTCCAAAGCAGGATAGTGGCAATGATGTAGCAGGGTATAAAGCTGAGGTTCCAATTATTCAGTCATTGAAGAGAGCAGTTCTCAAATCTAAAAGGCGTTATTTCAGGCGTCCAGGTGACTTTTGAAAACATGCACTTTTCATCTTAGAAGGTGTAATGGTCACGGCTTCAGGGATGCCTGCAATCATTACGTGTTTGCCCACAACATTTAGGGCTAATCTGTTGACTGGCACCACCTCCACTTCCCCCACTAAACACTTCAGCAGTGTCTGCAGTGAGCTGGCACACACTCACAGCGCCACACAGATTTGGCTGCGGTTCAGTGACAGATGGTAGAATCAATAAGAACAGACAAGATAGACATCTTCTACCAGTTCAGTACCAACTCAGTTACATAATCTTTCCACACAGATTCAATATACATTGCTGAACGTACACAACATGTAAAACAAGCACAGGTCAATGTCTGTGAGCCTCATTACATAAAAAGCTGACCTGGTTTGCCATTCTCTGAGGTACTGTCAGAACTCCCATCACTCTCATCTTTCTCACTGTCAGAAGCCTGCAGTGCCTTCTGTGACGCGTCTTTACTCTCCTCTTCATAGTCTAAATTATGTTTTTCATCATCTGGGGATGACTTTGACATTCCATTCCTTTGATCACCAGTCTGTCCTTCTTCACTAACTTCATCTGCTTCAAAATCTTCATTATACTCTAAAATAAAAGAGCCACACTATGAAACAGCAGATGGAATTCACAACTCTTGAAGTTCTTTTTCAGCAGATGGAGGTTAACTACATTAATTTTCTTTTCCCTTTGAGCTTGCTTACTCCTTTTAGAAGACATGAGATAATCTAAGACCATAGACAGGAATTGCAAGAGTACAATATCATAGAAAAGCATGAAGTTCTTCATAGGTAGAGTAGTAAAAATGCAATAAAGCTACAGAATGATGTAACAAGTATAATCAATACACTAAAAACAAATTAAAAAAACATTAGCCACTGAGGAGACTAGAAGAGTTAGGCAAACTCAGAAATAAAATGCAAGACAGTCTCTTATTACAGGAGAAAACCTTGTTGCAATGAAAAAAATATAGAAGTAGCAGAGAAAGGTAATATACAGTAATTGGGAAATAAGATAAACGTGGATTGACATGGCTAATTAACAGAGAAGTGACTTACAAAGTGAATTAATTAAACCCAGCTAAAGGGTGCTGCAGAAGAACATCCTATTTTCACACTTCTCCAATATGTTCATTCAGTTCCCAGGTGAAAATCTTGGTGAAAAATGAAGCTTACGGCATAATTGCCATTTTTATATCAACAGGGTCTGGCCTTCATCCCAGACTGCTGGCCCAACAACTTGTAACATATGACAGATAACTCTGCTCAGATCTATAGGCAAGAATTCTCTTTATGCATACACATTAGAGCACCATTTCCTTTCCAGACAAGGCTGCACTACTTAACATCCCAGGCACTGGAATGCACAGCAAAGCCAGGATTACCACTGACAACTCAGCAGGTTTGCTGCCAGCACCAGCTCACGGCACAGCAGAGGCAACACATCTGCACTGTGTAGAAGAGCAGCCACTGCTGACACACCAGCTGCCCCTCAGGCCATCATTTCTCACCTTTCACCATAACTGCTCACTACTTTCTCTTTTCACCAGTACTTTTAAAGTCCTGAAGTGACTGGATACCAAAGACAGAGGTGAAGAATATCTGATGCAAAAGCAATTAAGCAGATAAACAATTATCCCGACAAAGAGGATTAAGGGAATAGGTAGATTAATTTTCTGTACTGTAAAATTGACAGATTCCAACAGCATTGCTAGAAGTAAGGCCTTTGGTACCTCAGGAAGGTGCCTAACAAAAGGAAACAGCCTGATTAACCACAAGAACATCCACCGGGAATAATGAGGATGCTGTGCAAAAATCATGAAAGCAAAAAAGGAATAGGAAGTAGGAATGAAAGCCTCTCTCCAAGTAAGACATTCTCCAAAAAAAGGCTTTATACTGAGGTGTAGTGAAAGAACAGGTGGAGATATCTGTCCCTTCCTTCCGAGGCAGCTGGGTACACCGCTGGTGTATGCCAACCAAAGACAAAGCAGACTGTGTAGTGGCACTGGTTTGTTCTCAGTATGAAGTCATTTTCATATTGCAGATGTCATCTTCGCCTGACATATGAAACGGCCCTTAGGGAGAATTACAGCAAGAGCAGATGCTCTCTGCTCCTTTCTTTTAAATTCCAATCAACAGAAACCAAGTGGAACTCGAACAGAAGGGGCACAATCAGGCAGCCACATCTGGTGGTGGGAGCGCTCGGGAAAGGACAACCATCCCAGTATCACAGACAGCCAGAAAGTGAGCTGGGGCAGGCACAGAATCACAGAGCAACCCAAGTTGGCAGGGACCCACAAAGATCATCAAGCCCAATTCCTGGCTCCACACAGCACCACACAGAATCCAAACCCTACACCTGGGAGCAGTGCCCAAACACTCTCTGAGCTCCAACATCTAGGCTACATGCCCACTGCCCTGGGGAAGCATAGTGGAGAAGAGACTGGAAAGGTGAACAAAGAGGTGAACAAAGCATCTCACTGCCACTGGCAACAGGTAAGAGAGCAGACCAAAGTATTTCACCAGGTTCTCAATCTTGCTGACATTTTGCTGCTGCACATCTCTCCCACCTCCCTCCCCACCACGTAGCATCAGGAGGCAGGCAGTCCTCCACCTCCCACCCCAGCTGTCACCATCTCTGCATTCATCTCACACTGATGTCCTGTTTCAGACCCACTGGATCCCTACTCCCACACAGCCTCATTTCTTCTTCCTGCTCTTCTCCACCTGCTGCCATTCTGTCTCCACTGCTGTCCCTTCACTGTGCCTCGCCCTCCTGCTCTTTTCCCCTCCACCTCATGCTCTTGTTTCAGCCTTGCTGAATTGCCTGACTTGCTTCCTTGGCTCTTGCAAAAGCCTCTCATTCCATTACTTGGATGAAAGGACCCCTGCTTAGTTTATTGCCCACATACAGTTATTGCCCACTGTCCCACCCCCAGCACATTCCTCACATGTGAGGTATGCTCTTCAGGTGAAGCTGGGGGCCCACAGTCCTATACTTTCTCCAGAATCAGCCTCTTCTAGATTTCATCTCACACTTGTGTTTTGGAATACTGTACCATTTTTACCAGTATCTTCCTGACTATCTTCAGCCTCACAATTGGGTAGTTTCGTCCCTTCTTCTCTTTCGTAATCCTGTCCAGTCTCCATTTTGTCCTCAACGGTTTCCACATCTGCTTCGTGACTTGGTAAGATGACTAGCACCGATTCTTTGCTTGATTTCTGATCAGTGCTGCTACCACTTGGCTCACTGTGAACTCCATCTTTCCAGGAACCCACTTGCTTTCCCTCACAGTCCTCCTCCATCTCCCTCTTGGGAGGGGACGGCTTTTTGTCCAGACCCATCGCAACAATGCATCTACAAAAACAAACAACAAAAAACAATACAAGGAATATTGGGAAATGTGACATTCTGTCAGTGCACAGTGCAAAAAGAGCAGACACTGGCCTATTCATCTCATTACTAGATGTGAAATCAGGTACATATCTGCCTCCACTTCACCTCTCAGACAAGGATACAGACAGCTCCGAGGAACACTCTGAAATCCTCAGATGCTCCACAGACACAGATCTGCCCTTCAAGGACAGTAAGGCCATCCCCACAGTTGAATTATAAACAAATCAAGATTATCAGAAGTGAACATCAGTCTAGCGGTTGGCAACCCTGCCCACAGCAGGGATGTTGAAATTATATGATCTTTAAGGTCCTTTCCAACCCTGGCCATTCTTGATTAATTCAAGTTGCACCAAGCATGATCTGCACAGATATAATTACTGAGACGGCAGAGAAGCTCCAAGTGTGTTGGATCCAGATTCTGCTTTAACACCAAATAACATGATAAACTGGCTTCTACAGTGATGACACTTTTTAATTTGTCTGCAGAGTGAAATAATTGTGGGCAAAGGAGACCCAATCTAGATTATTTTAAATATCTGTTCTGTTTTTCCTGTCTAACAGAAACCCAAAGTGCTAGAAAACAAAGCACTTGGAGCAACACATTAAGACTACTCTTCTAGCATAAAGAAAATGAACGGCAGACCCTCTATTTTATGGTTAGGAGGCTCATGAAAATAGTCAAAATTCATATTCAATACTCTTACATTCAGCAGCCAGTAGTATTTCAGCAGAATCCCACCTTCGAGGCAGCGTTGTTTAAAAATGAAACATACATTTTTTCCACTATCACAAAGAAAATCCCGAAAACTACAGTTTACTACACAGCACCAGATTATTCCCTACAGATACTATCAGAAACACACAGGTAGCACACTTATATTGCACCGCCACTGCTCCTCCTGGTGAATCACTGATGGCCCCCTGGCAAGCTGATAGATGAGTGCTACGATGCAAACGTCGCCCACTGCCATGAATACTTCACAGTGTATTTGAAGAGGCAGCAGAAAATCAGCAGATTTGGATGACAACTCTAATACTATAATGTGATAGAAAATACAGCAATAATAGCAGAGCAGCACAATCCTAGGCTGCAGCAAATGAGAACAAGCTCCAAAGCAGCCGTGGATACAGAAACAAAGGAAAAAAGCTGCTTACCATTGGAAGGCCTCAGGTAGGCAGGGATCTCCAGCAAGATACCCTCACCTCCACTGCCAACCCTTAAATGAGGTCTGGGAAGGGGTGGATCCTGGCTCCAGCCCTTCCAGCCACTCAGGTGCATTGCATTGCATTACATGCACCTGAGCCCCCCTGGGTTGGCCCTGCCTTCCCACCAGGTGCTCAATTATCATTTCAGGCTATGACTTATCATTTCCACTACAAAATCCCTGAATATAGGCCTTTGAAGGGTAAAAGCTCAGTTATGCACTTTCCTAGAGGTGTTCAGAAATCAACCAGGCTCTACAGAGCTGTGGTACACCAGGAAGATTAATAACAAGGAAACAACACTCTAAAAACTGAGATGGTAACACTTTATGAAAAAGGACATTTGTCTCCGCACCTATAGCAAGGAGATGCTCCCTCCACATTGAGAAATCCAAAGTATCCATGTCTGCCTCCAAGCCTGGAACGCTTCTGATGTCTGTACTCGCAGCAAGAGCTCAACCTGTCCACTTGCATCCCATTGAGAAAAAAGGTGAGACTGAATGGGAAACCACGGTGCCTCTTGGAGACGAACTGAAATGTCTCTGAAACCATGGAAAGGAGAGAGGTCAAAGAATAAGTTTGTGCTTTACTGTCAGCCCACTGCATTTGTTGGGCTCCATCTGCATCGTTGCCAGAGCAACCAGCTGTTCCAGGTCAAGTTCTTTCATTCCCAGCTTTATAAATTAATTGGTAAAACCCTACCCTCCTCTGAACACAGCAGTCTTATCTCTTTCCAACTCAGAACTATGAAGATGGACACAAACATAACAAGCTAAAACTTCATTGCAGTGTAGCTCCTTGTAGAGTGCAGTCCAGGTTCTAGGTCAGTACCACTGCAATATTAGTGGCTCCAGGCCTATAGTAACATGGTCTTACTGATAAGCAACACTAAGCAGCTGAAAGATATCATTTCTGGAGACTTTTCAGTCCACTCAGTAAGGGTACTGCTAGGCATCTAAATGGTAGGGGCACTGATGCTGCTGCTCAGTTCCATGCCAGGAGAGATTGGGCTGTACTGCCTTTAACCACAGCTCATAGCATCCTTTCAAAGCAAACTGAGCACACCTCAGTAGGGAGGAAGTCACACTGCTCTGTCAGGTTCCCCAAGAGGTGCAAATGTGTCTCAGAGCCACGAAAGCACACACAAAAGACACCTTTTGTATGGCTGGGACAAAGCTGCAACAAACATCTTTGGGCCAGATCTATGGGCACACTGCTGTGCATCCACAACCCCGGTGAACAGGCTGAAGTGCAGGGATCTCTGCACAATGTTCCCCTATTCAGTGAAAAGACAAATCCAGACATGGCCAGTTCTGCGAGCTAGAATGAGGCACAAAACTCTCTGCTTCACCAGTGGAAATCTCCCAGTCATTCCCTCTTCCTAACTTCCCAGAACAGAATATTGATGAGATCGACCAGTATGAGCAACTGTAAAGAAACTGATGGAGTTGCATTCACATAGAAGAGATGGGAACTGGGCTCTTTCTAGTTACTTTTCCTTCTGGAATAAACATGTACTGATGTATTGCAGCAAGTCAGAAAAAGATAACCTGGATTTAAGGACAGTTTACTGCTACAACTATTTTATTAACTATACATCTCCATACAAAATTAATCTAAGCTACAGCATTTTGTTAAATTAGCTCTTTAAACTCTTTACATCATAATTCTAAGACAATTTGAAAAAGGAATTGTAACCTCATCTTCAACTGAGAAGCAGAAGATCCAGTTTTAGTTCAGAGGCGGACAGAGCACAGTCCCTGGATGCATACATATCAAGACTGAGCTCAGCTGAAATCACTTCAATATCACATCATTGTTTTAGCCAAAAAGAAGATGTTGCCAGTATCAAAATGAACTCCTCCCATCTTTATCCTTACCTCCTTCCAACAGCTTGCCTTTGTAGACACAAAGGTTTTCTCCTCCACAATGCTGCTGATAGATTTTGATTTCATCTCTATAATCAGAATCATCGTGAGACAAATGCACACTTTTTCCCAGAAAGATCATGGTAACAAATGCATTGCTGTGTAATGAGGGCTTAAGGAATTCTCCAGAATTCTGCAGCAGAAAATACACAAAAATGTACTCAGTTTTCAACCATAATAAAGGTGAACACAAAGATCACATGCATGCCACCTGCATCTGAGACTTTCAACGTTTTAAGACAGGCCTTGAACTGCTCAAGATGAAAAGTGTTTTACAGTTCTATTGCAGAAAGGCAATAAAAGATTTTGGACTGAAAATCCTTTGTATTGAATTGTGTGAGATTGAAGGAACCAAATTTAATGATCCAATCCTGTATTCCCACAGCTTTACTTCCAGGAGCCAAAGCTGGCTGAAGATCCAATGTAAAATATGAAACCTTCATACACTCCTAAATTTTGCTTAAGCTCTGAGTATGTCAGCTAGGAAGGTAATATACTTGCCCATGAACACAAAAGTAGACTGAAATAACCTACCTTGGCTACAAGTTGCTCTAAGCCATTTGGTGCAGTGGTGGGACGAAATCGTCTCCTTCTGCAAGTCCCATTTCTCACTGCCTTTACACTCCTGTCTCTTTTTTGCAGGGTAGGAGGTGGCACTGGTATCAGATAGTTGTTAATGACAGGGAGTCGGTATGGGGATTTCCCAGACGCATATTCCACTGAGTTCATAAATCTTAGCCCACTTCTCTCTCTCTACAACAACAACAAAAAAAGTAACTGCTAAAAAGGCCATGCAAAAATAGCTACTGAGCATAACTGAACCAACCATGGTTTGACTGCTCTTTGCATTTAGTAACATACATACTTTTAGAATTTCAAGCATCAAGAAGTTCTGTGAGAACCTTTCTGTGCCAAACTCCTTCTTTTTCCATTTGAAAAGCAATAGGCACAAATGGAGAAACCAAGGTGAGTTGCTTGAAAACATCACACACAGATAAATGTCCTGAGCACAAGCAGAAAGAACTCTGCACAAACTGACTACTGGGGAGGGGGGTGAAAAAGGAGAGTTTGAGTCAAGGCTGTTGTTAACTGTTTGGCAGGCACGTCACCAGCAGTAAGTGTACAGCTCTGGGAACTACAGTACTGGGCAGTACTACAAAGCCGTGCCTAACAGGTATTGTTTTCCAAATAAAATAGGGTCTCACCCCACTAGCAAACTGCTGGTAATTTTCAAGCGTGCTGCACTTTTGTTTAGAGCCTGAACTCCTTGGAACAGCCCCTGCTGCAGCACAGCTGTGGAGCGGCTGAAGTCGAAGTGGGTACTGCATATTTCCTGGAGCTGTATTTGGTCGATGGGAAGAAGCCTAGAAGAGGAAAAAGAAAACAGCTAGAACATCTCAGGGCATAGCTTCCATACAGAACAGCAGCATACAGGAGAAAGATACAGTGCCAATGAAGGTAATCAGCATCAAAGAGTGGTGCTCAGATACCTTCAGGAAATTTAATTTTCTAGTACCTCTCGGTCTTGTAGAGCCAGACCCCTTTAGGAATCTCTAATTAAGAGTCCAAAAACTGTTCCTGTTCATTCACAGTACAGCCTTGAAACAAAGGCAGTGAACTCACAGGAGCTGCAGCAATATGCTCTGCTTTGGTGACTTGAACACACGAACGCTGAGAAAACGCACAATGAAAGCATGCTCATCTTTATTCAATTCTCAGCATTTCTCTGACATTTTTTCTTTCATCCAGAATATCAAGTAAAATGTTGACATCTAAGAAAATGTATTAAAAATTCACTTACTGTCTTTAAAAAGGCCAACTCCTTGGATCTGTGCTGATCAAAAGGATGTCCACCTCTATAATCAACTATAGGCCCAGGAGCTCTCTGTATGGGATGGGGAGGAGAAGGTTGTTCAGTTCTAAATATCACCAAATATCATTATTGAAACCAGTAAGAACTGGAGTGTATATTTGGCCTTTGATCTTAGATTCTGGGATCATTGCACTTCCTTAGTGCACTAACATTTCTTCTTTGCCTGTTAACAGAGTAGGAAGATTCTGAGCGGAGCTCCAAAGCGCAGCCTTCTGGAAGAGCGTTCTCTTATTCCACCTCTTCAGCTTCTTTTTCTAAAGGGCCTCCACTGATGTCAGGGCTTTACAACATACGTAGACTTTGCCTACAGCCATGTGATGATGATATTTAATGTACATATTTACATATTTAACTTTGGGCAACATGGCAGATAAAAAGGAAAGATTAAAACAGATTCATCACAAAGCAAATATATTTTTACATGTTTTAATGCGCCATTCCTGCAACATCAGCTTCTCCAGACTTCTCTTTAATGTAACATGAAGTCGGCCACAAATGAAGGATGAGGATCTTGTGTGCAACCATCAGGGCAGTCGATGGCATAGATTAAGCACAGAAGTTACAGGTATATGTGCACACTGGTTTGTTTGTGCTTGCATTACAGCATATGAAGTATTTGGTGGAACTCACCAATTGTGAACGAGCAGCTGGTTCTCCAGCCATTAAAGGATGGCGTCCGTAAGGATTTCTGGAGCCAAGCGGTGGGCGTGGGGAGTGCAGAGGGTTAGCATCTTCCACTGGTCTTCTGGGCCGCTCCATCTAGAAGAACAACAGTGCATGTCTCTGAGGTACTAACCAACAGCCACGTTTGAGCTCGCTTCTGTCTGTCTTTCACTGGATGGTGATGGCAGTCGGCTTGCCTAGGCCCAGTGGAAGATCTGCTAAGGAAAGAAATAAAATAAAGAGAAGGAGGGGAGAGCGAGAGAATAAGGGAAAAGATTTGTTCCCATCTCTATTTCATTTCTCTGCAGTGCTCTACAATTCACCAGCCTTTGTTTCTCTCCCAGCCTCGGCTTGGTTGAAGATCTCTTTCTTTTTTAACTTTGAGTGCTTCCACTACTTCCTTGCCCCACTGCCCCTCCCTACCTTTTCTTCTCCAAAGCACCACATTGGGCTGACCACCCTTCTGGAAATAGAGAGCTGTGTCTCTCACTCTCCCTTTCCCTGTCATCTGCCATTCCTTTCCTTTCAGACTGGTTACTCAGGCAATTCCAGTTGAGGTAAGAATTGAATTACTGCTGACTCCTACCAGGTCCTTGCGTACCAGTGTAGCACCACGGCAGAGCATTTACCCACAGGCATTTCCCTTACAATGCTCACTGAAAGTAGCTTTCATTTATGTTCCAAATGTACTCCAATCCAGAATCCCTTAACGGGATGTTTTCATCACACTTTTTCCCCAGTAGAATAATGCGGCTTCCATTTCTCTAGCAGCAGTTCAGGCAGTAAATTATGTTTTTGCAGTTACCAGAATAATGAATATTTTTCAAGTAAATTTCCTTTTTTTTTTCTTAATTACTCATAAATGCACTACTTTAATTCTAAGAGATTTGACATCATTTTTCCACTGCTCAAAGAAACAGCTATCTTCCCAATATATTCCTCTTAATGTATGCAGGCTCCTTATAAAGAAATCAGATGTTGAGGATATTTCAGCCAAAATGAGAAAAAAAATGTTCCCATATGCACCCAGGTGACTTCATGCAAAGAAGAACCATTGACTTCTGTGGGACTTGCCTGGCAGTCACAACCACAGAATCAAGCTTTACCTACATGACACCAAAGGGAAGACCTCAAACCTTTCTTCATTACTTACACGCTGGTTCTGGTAAACATCACGTGGAGAGGCCAACAGCTGATAACATGAGCTCAGTGCTCAGCAGCAATCAAATGCAGACAGAGTCTAGGATTACTAAGAGGGAAGAGCTGCATCACTTATCCTAAATTATTCATCCAGTTCTGGTTTGCCATTTCAAAACAGAAACAAAGAACTAGAAAAGGTTAAAAAAAATGTTAACAGTAATGAGAAGCCTCGTGTGTGAAAGACTCAATAGACTGAGGCTCTTCAGCTTGGAACGCTGAGAAGGAATATTAGAAAGGCATGCAAAGCCATGTCTTGGAAAAGTTGTTAACTTTGTCATACTGCAAACAGTGAAGCATTGGATAGAATAATCAGACAATAGGTAAATGAGTTACTGTGCAGAAATGCAAAGGAAGAAGTACTATTTCACACAGTTTGTTAAATTGCTCAACCAAGAATTTTGCAGAAGTACACTCAGAAGAAATCAGACACAAGCATGGAAGTTTCTGAATTGCAGAGTAGAAGACGTAACCCGGATCATCCCCTGCTTGCCTGTTTACTTATTCCATAAGCAACAGAGGCAGGACACCTGTTTCAATAAATCTCTGGCCTCACTCATTATGGCTGTTATTTAACGCAGCAAAACTGTCACATTCCACCAGCATTCAGTAGCACTCAAGTCTTACCTTGGTTTTCTGCACCCTCGCCTTCCTTACAGAACTTTCAAGTTTCCTTCTTACTTCCAGCTGATGATGACGCTATCAATGTAAGAGAAAGAGGAATCTCATTAAGAGACATAATGAGGTGTCAACACAAGAACACTTGTTTCTGTTCCGCTTATCACTTGCCCTCTCCCTCATCATTACCCTTGCTGAACCCTATTATTAAACCACTGGTGATTCAGTACATTTGCATTGCACCTCTGTATCTTAACACTGGTAAGGGAACAAATGAGCATTTTAAAGCTGCAGGGATCAGTTGTGTCCATGATACAGAGCAGGGATGTGCTCAAATTTCGTACTCAGATAAGACAAATAACTATATTTAAATTATTATGACTTGAAAAAAAAAAATTAGACAAACTCGTCCTGTAGATATTATCTTATAATCTATTAATTTTAACTAGTTTTGTCGTTGCATACAGGAAGAAATAGGAGGATTCAGGTGTATCACTAAAGCTATCTTTTCTACGCTTCTCCAGCTCCAGCCTTTGTGTTTGTTACATGGCACCTCTGTTCATCTCCATTCAAAATGGCAGGAGCTCTTTGGAGAAGTCACTTACCAGGGTGTGTTGTGTGGTCACCGTGTGCCTACGTCTTTGTAGGAAAAGGAGATGAGTAGATAAGGGCCTGAGTTACTCTGAGAGCTCCAGCTGCTTTCTCACCATCCTTTACTCCCAAAGGGAAGTGCTCCTGGATTACAGCAGCAGCACAGTACTTTCTCCTACAGATTGCTCATCCCCCACATTAAACAGAGCCATCTCAGACACCCTGCACCTATTTAACACCACAGGGTGTTAAAGCAGTGAGCCAATGCAGCAAGGCTGAGGCAGTGCACAGCATAAGAACTAAAGGCCAACGGAGGTTTCACGTGAGGTATGCCAAGCACAATAACTGCCCTTTTTCCAAGCAAAGGAGAGCCTTTCATGGGAGTGTGGGGGCACAGCTACAGAAAACAATCCAGTACGAGTTAACAGCCACCAGTGCCAGTAAAAAGTACCTGAGAAGGCTTGCCCACCAGCAGTGAATGCATACCTCCATGTCAAGGACCTTCAGAAATACGGCCCTCGTCAGGCACTCCTGAACGTATCTCTGGTGATCCCTCCTCAGAGCATTCAGTCGGTATTCTTTCTCTGGTATTATTCTTCCACTTTTTGAGATCTGCCATAAAAAATGTAAAACATAACTAAAAAGAAGAGGAGGACAAAATGAACTTTTCTAAACAGAGTGCAGCTTCCCAGGAGCACAACTTTCTCACCCATTAGCCATCACCTCTTGTTTCTGCCATGGTGCTGGGGCTCACCTTCCCAGCACAGGACTGCAGTTTCACCATGGACCCAATCAGCCAAAGGAAGAGAGCAGGAGAGAAGCAGTCACAGTTCCTAACAGCTGAGGCTCAGCCTTACTCTTCATGGGCTATCCCCCATAACTCAGCAGTGAGGGATTAAATACTTGCCTTCCCACTGTGTAAGGGTTGCATCTGCCTCTGCACAAAAATCCATTCAAGGATTTTTAAACATATTGAGCTCCTTTACCAAATCTTACAGTTTTCCCCTGAACACTTGAAGAACAGTTCTGATACTATTTAAACAAGGAGAGTCCAAGCATTTCCAGTGCCTTTCAACCTTTTGGCACATGGGGCTCAGCACGTAGCTCAGCTACGCCCAGATCCTTGCCGTTCTGTTTCCAGCCCCATACGCCACAGCCCCAGTCACGACCCCGTGGATCCTGCTGACCAACACTGGCTAACAGTGCAGTGGGAAATGCCTGAGTGAAACAATCCTGCCTGAGACAAAGCACAATCACAGGGCTTCAATCTGGCACAGCATCATTGTGGCTGTTTGGCACAGGTCAAATTCTTACCAAGGACAACTCATCCTTCTAAGAAGTAAATAAGAGAACATCAGTATTTTGACTGCTGCAACATTAAAATTAACAACGTAATTATTTTCTTTCACAGAAAAGGAAACTTTTCAGTCTCACCAGTCCTGATCTCTGAAGATGTCTCCTTATCCGGGCATTGCTGAAATATCCAGCCAGGTGTTTGTCTGTCAGGCTGTTGTAGGTTGCAAGGAACCTGAAATGAAATCAACACGGATGCCATGAAATCCCCTTGACAGAGTCACTTTTTGCTGGTTACAATTACCCAACAAAATGCTGCCCGATGATTCATGCCCACTATGCTGTCAGACAGCCCATTAGATTACGTAGAAGCAACACCTCGTGCCCCAAGAACACACCAGGAATGGGCTTCTGTAGGACACAGCAGCTGGGTGCCCAGCAGGGCGCCAGCACTGAGGCACAGGTTTCAGACAGCCCACGTCTGAAGGCCTCCCCAGCAACAATCCCACATCAGCTGCCTCCTCCGAGCACATCAGCCAGCCCCCCACCCTTATTCTGGTACATAGCACTAAATGCAAAGATCAGAGCTTCTAAGAACTGAACCTGATGTAGGAGAGTTGAACACAAAAATGGAAGGCTCCATAATTAGCCTGCTTTTAAATAGTTCTTAGCACAACCTTCCCTCATTTCAGCCCCTGCAAAGCAAGACAAATAACAGTGTGGCAGCAGGCTTCATTTTTTTAATATTCTAACTCCATTTACGTTGATAAAATTTATACATCAGATGTATATAATGCATTTATACTGACCTGTTATCTGTGTACACAGATGAAATACTGTTTTAATTACACAACAAGCTTTTTTTGGCTTTAAATTTAAATGCCCCCGTACCTCTAGTACTTATATTTCAATGGGATAATATAAAATAAATGTCCACTGCCAGGCTGTGTTACCATGCACAGAAATATTCACAAGAAAGGAAAGAGCAACAAGAGAACAGTCTGAGGGAGGTGATGGATTTACAGGGCATTCACCTGGGGTTTCACAGCAACCTCACCAACAGCCTACCAACAATACGCTGAACTTCATACCAACAGTGCTGTGCCCCCCTTTGTATGTTGACTAAACACCGGTGCTGTAGCAGGGGTGCTGCATCACTCTCTCCATTCACTGCTTGCATTTGCATTCAGAACTGCAGATCACACCAGTGTCACCAAGTGTTTGCCTGTGGCATCGCCTGCAGACAGCATATGGAGGCTGAGGAGAAACCCCCGTCCCGCTCCTTCCCAATCCACCTGGTTCCTTCCATCTAACGTTTCACAGGCTGCATTACAGTAAAAGGCACTTCCCCTCTGATCACAAAAAACTTTCTAAAGCAAAAACTGAACACACAAAAACTTCCTGCTTCCTCAAGGAGAGGGGAAGAGTCGGCAGGGACCTTTGGAGGTCACTGGACCGACCCAGAGCAAAGCCTGGCGCTCAGTGAGCACAGCCCTGCTCTCCCACTGCAGAGGCCAGCCCTGATCCCCTTCCTGGGCTGACAGCCCACCAGAAGAGACACGCTATCCGTGGGTGCCCAGAGGCCCTGGAGGAGCCGCGATGGAAGCAGCATGCACTGCACAGCCCCTCCTGGTCTGTGCCACAAGGCAGCTTTACTGCTGGCCAGTGGGGACTGGCAGCACCTCGGCTGCGCCCCTCATGGGCCCGTGTCACTGACACTGCCTTGGCAGCACCTCCACAACTCAGTCAGAGATATAAATTGCTGTCACTGGAGCCAATTCTTTTTTCCCCATTAATGAAAGCAACGTGTCCTTAAGGCAAGAACAAATATTCCAATTAACTGGCAGAACAGAGCCATAGACACCAGAAGAACCAAGGTTTATTTTGCCATTTAAAAAACGTACTGAGGTGCCAAAGTCCAACACACAGCAGTTGAACCTGCCCAGAGGGTTCACTGCAGCACACAGCTGTGCAGACCCACAGAGCACAAAACAGAACACGCAACGGATCATTGCAGCTCCCCCAGATCAAGGCCCCGTCTGCTCAGAATCCTATACCTACAGGATTTGCTTTGTCACTGCCACCGTTGTTTGATTAACAGCACCTGTTTTTTATCAGCTTACATAGCCCCATGCACCATGTTCAGAGCCTCTGCTGTGCAGCACAGTGACTTTGATGGCCATTCAGGGACAGCAGGACAAAATCTCAGTAGGCCTCCTGCACTGGACTTAGGTAGCAAAAATTCAGGGTTAATTATTTACAGTGCAAGTAAGTTAGTGGCTGCTTACCAAAGAAATAATCTAAGGTGGCATCAAAGCTTTAGTTATTGATTGGTAGAGTCATAGACAGCTCCTGTGCTGTATGTTACAGCTGCAGCTCACTGCCTCTCCAGTCCAACCAGCAGTTCTCACTCTGATGGAGATGCATTCCTAACTTTAATAAACTACTGCACTGCACACGGTTTCTGTTGAGGATATAGACAGAAAAACTTTCAGACAGAACAAATCCACAATGCAGAAGCACAGGCTGCCAGCCACAAGCAGCAAGTTCAGTGTCCCACAGCACAGGGAGAGGGTTTGTATGGGAGATGATTGCCTCAGCGCCCAGCCTGCCTGCCTTCCCTCCTAGTCCCAGAACAGGCCGTCAGCTTTGCAGAGAGCATTAAGTCCTGGGAGGACTTTGTGAATCCTCACTGGGACTGGCCTGACTGTCACTAAAGGGCACAAGCTCATCTCAAGGAACAGTTCTGCCAGCTGCAAGCCATACAGACATCCAGAACACAAACTGCTGCTTCCTACATGAATGCCTTGCTTTGGTGCCCCCAGGCTTAAGCTAAGTGAAGGGAATGCCAAAGGTAACCGGGGTGTGTTTGGATTCCTCTCTTTCAAAAAGGTGATGAAAAGCCAATAAAATGATCCTCCGCCTCCACACAAGGAGGTCTGTGCCTTGCTAGGATGCAGGTCATACCACCTGCAATCACCATAGTCACAGAATGGCCTGGGTTGCAAAGGAGCACAATGATCATCTCACTCCAACCCCTGCTGTGTGCAGGTCACCAACCAGCAGCCCAGGCTGCCCAGAGCCACATCCAGCCTGGCTTTGAATGCCTGCAGGGGTGGGGCATCCACAGCCTCCTTGGGCAACCTGTTCCAGTGCCTCACCACCCTCTGGGGGAAAAACTTCCTCCTAACATCCAACCTAAACCTCCCTTGTCACACTTTAAAACCATTCCCCTTCTCCTATCACTATTAATGCATGTAAACAGTCATTAATATGCTTGGGAGCCCTCCTTCAAAAGAGGGAAGCTGCACACCCAAGCAGTCACCAACCGACCTTGTGGGCACAAAGCCTTCAAACTGCAGCGCCAGGCACAGATGGGGCTGCTGCATTCATTTATGTCAGCTACTACTCATTCAATTATGAGAAACCATTCAAGAGTACAACTGCTGAACCAGAACTTACTGAGGTCAGCAGATAACTTGATGTTCTGATGGTGCTTTGGATTCTAACAATAATTAATTGCTTTATTTCAAGGCCACAAAATTGCAAGCATACAGTTTTATTCAGGTGACAGCTCGGTGCAGCAAGAGGGAGGACCTCTGGCACAGTGTGAGGCCATCACCTCCCATCCTGTCATTGTTCTCTGGGAGCAGAGGCTGACCCCCACCTCGCCCTGACCTCCTGCAGGAGCTGTGGGGAGCAACGAGGCGCCCCCTGAGCCTCCTCTGCTCCAAGCTGAATGACCCCAGTTCCCCAAAGTTCTGTGCTCCAGCTCCTTCACAGCTTCACTGTCCTCCAATGCACTCCAGCACCTCGATGTCTTTCTCATATTTTGGGGACCTCAACAGCCAGTGGAAGATGGCGGAGAGGAGCCAGGCTCTGTGCAGCCACGCATAGCGGCAGGGAGAGAGACGACACGGGCTGAAATAGGAGCAATCAGACAGCGCACCGACGGCTCAGCTGGTGCACAGCAGTGCTGCACAGAGCTGGGGGCAGCAGGAGCTGCTCCTCGGCCTAAGAGCTCTCACTTCTGTTTCTGTCCCCAGCCCACAGCGTGCAGCTGTGATGCGGAGCTGCTGGAAGGGTGCAGCACAGCAGGAAGAGACGCTTCACATGCCAGGGAGAGCTGCTATCGGCCCCAGCGCCGCACCGATTGCCCGCGGGTGCAGACAGCGACCCTGGGAGCGCTATGAGCACGCAATGTGCTCATTTCCCAGCAACCGAACCGACAGCAGACGCTGCCCGCAATGCACGACTGCCCTTTGCGGCAAGCAGCGCAGAAAAACCCTCCGGCATAAGGCGCTCGGTGTTTCAATTCGGAGCTCCGTGTGCTTCCTCACGGAAGAGATGCTGCGCCTGGAACACAGCCAGACCTGCAAACGCCGGGCCGACGTGCAGCCCGCGCTGCTCCCTTATCGCATCCTCACTCCGTTCTCCGCCGTACCGAACGCCCCCGGACCCCGCCGTGCGGGCGGCGCCGCGCAGAGCTCCGCAGCCGCGAGAGCGGAGGAACGGAGCCCGCCTCGGTCCGCGCCGTGCCGGACTAGGAGACGGGACACCGCCCGCCGCGTCCAGCCCCGCGCCGCCCCACTCACCCCGGCTGAGGGCCGCTCATGGCCGCGCCGGCTCCGGGGGCAGCGCTCGGTGCTGCTCGGTGCTGCCCGACGCCGCCGCTCGCGTCCCACGCCGTTGCCAGGACACGGGATTGCGGGGCGGGGCCAACGGCGGAGCAGCGCCGCCCCCCACAGCGCCCCCGTGCGGCCGGCAGGGCGCGGCCTCCCGTTTCTGGCAGCCGTTTCTCGCAGCGGGCGGCTGTCCGCGCCTCGGCAGCCCGAGGAAGGCGCTCCTTTTCTCTGCGCCTTCCCCTCAGCCCCTCCAAACCCACGCTGCAGATACGCCCTGCCCAGCGCTCGTTTCAGGTTGTTGCTGGTAGGCGTTGACCCGAAGTTCATACAATACCTGCGTTCATTGACACCTCCGTATCTGCGTGGCCTCCCACCAGCTTCCCACTGAGACTAAAACAAAGCGTTACGATCTGAGCAGGAGTCTTAAAGACACAGACGTGGGGTCCTCTTCTGCCTTAACACTTCTTCAGTAACGGATCGCAGATGCACAGAAGTCCGGACACTCCAAAAGATTTTGCCAACTACTTTCTCAGTTTAGATTAAACAAATAGCAGTAGAAATGAGTGCCCATTCAGAGAAATCACAGCTCAGAAAATGGTGTCACCCTGCACAGAGAACTGCACCGCTGTGTGCCGCAATGACACCAACAGAGTCCAAGCCAAATGCCACAAAGCAGGTAACCTTCATGGGCAAACAAGGCTCTGCTCAGGACAGGGTCATTTCTCCTCAGAGAAGCAGAAGAGCCCATCCTTAAAGATGAGGGCTATTCTCATTAGAGAACCATTCCACTGAAAGGTACACCGGACTGTAACACCATGCTGCATTCTGAATGCAAGAACAGGCAATGCTTCAAAGAAATTGGGTTTGGATTGCTGTATTTGGAACACGCCAACAATACATACAGATCCAGTCATGAAATAACACTGATTTCAGTTACCCATGAAAGCAGCACAGACCTGTTTCTCCTCATTACAAGCAGGGATTCATGTGACTTTAAAATTAATATGGGTCACAGGAAGACCTGCAATTGCTCCGACAGCCACCTACCATCAAGAAATCAACTGCTTCTGCCAGCATGATTGGTTGCAAAGCAGCAAATATGCTGCACGCACACAGCTCCAGCTACTCTTGGCATTAACTGGGGTGCTGTCAGCTAGGCTCTAAGTCAGGCACAGCAAAACAGAACTGCTTCTGCTTTCAAGTAATTCATATTTGAGAGATTCTTTGGCCATTTTTTGAGCTAGAAAGTGAACTATCCTGACAAAAAGAGCTTTGATTCCAAGCAAATTCTGTGACAGAAGATGAATGAAACAAGTTTTGTGGCTAATGAATTTACAGCCCTAGTTACACGTGTGTCATTGGTTTCATACCTTTGTCAATCTGCTCACAAAGCAGGCTTCATTCTGCACTGCTTACAGCTTCCCAATGCCCTCATTTCAAGTAGTGCTTTGTATCAGACTCCAGCTGAGATTCCCAATTTCCCATCACAGTGTCAAACCAGTGCAGTTATTATTTCCACATCAACCAAAAAAAGTTACACAAATTACCATAAATTTTGCCCAACATTGCTTATACAAAAAGAAAACACTGCTAATGAATCAGCATAACTAACTAATGTAATCTAGCACTTGTTCTTGTTCTTCTGAAATTTGATTAAAAATGCATTTCATTAAAAAAAATGTTCAATGAATCACGTAAGCAAAGGTGCAGATAGAACAGCTATAAAGTAGACGGAGAAATACTTTATGGCAGGAGTACCATCTTTCCTCGAGCACCACTGCTGTGAATAATGTCCTCATGAGCCTTAGCTGCTTCCTGCAGGGGGTACTCGGGGCCCACGACTGGCTTCAGCCAGCCAGACTCCACGCCATCAAGGACTGCCCTCGCACATTCAAGCCTCTCCTCCTACAGAAAATAAGAGGCAGCATTTACCACCATGAGGTCTCTGCATTTTAGAAAAGTACAGACTGTTTCTGCCAGCGTCAAATCGATGCTTGCAACCCAAAAGCATTTTATGGTGTTCTTAAGATTAAATCAAAACATAAAGGAGCTCACACACAGAGTCCTCGTAGTCAAATTATGCTTTCACTCCTGTTTTTAAACACAGACAACTGTTTCAACAGGAAAAGATCACCGAAGAAATCTCTAAAAAAAAAATGTTATTTTCATACCTCAGTTTCAAGAAACCGACCAACTCCAATGATGCTGGACTCTTTGTTCATGGTGTCTCTGGGGTTTATCTCAATGGAACCTCTGCAGCCCACAACCTGTTAGAGCCACATTACAAGAGAGTTTAAGTTCTCACTGTCAGATTGCACAGTTAAACATGCAAACCCAAGGGACAGAAAATACGTACCATCACCCTTCCTGCCTGGGACAGCAGATGTAAGTCAGCAGCCAGATTGACGTTGGAGAGCATTTCTACTATTATATTAACTCCTTGCATCTTGGTATATTCCTACCCAGAATATAATACACAGAAAGTTACTTCACTTAGTGTTTTGGTGCTGCTGTACATTTCATACACTACTGAAAGCACACCTTTGGCAGCTGATTGCTTTTTATATACTGACTTTGTGCCAAGGCTGATGGCCAATAGCAGATGTACAGGTGCTGACTTAGGAAAACTATCATACTGGGATTTTCCGAAATGCCACTGCATAAATTTGTTCTTAAAATTTTCCACAAGTGTTCACTATTTTTTTTTCTTTAAAGTTAATAGAGAGATGCTGCATGAGCTAGACCCAGTACGTACTTACCTTAATTTTGTCAAGATAATTAGCTTCTCTGTGATTAAATGCTTGGTGAGCACCGTTTCTCAGAATAATGTTCATACCCTCCTCAGTTCCTGCCGTGCCCAAAACCTTCAAGCCATAAGCTCTGGCAATCTGACATGCTGCTATTCCCACCTGGGAGGGAAAGAGGAGGAAATCAAAACAACAAAAACAACTCTCTGCATTTTAAATTTGACACATTTACCAGTTGGAACTTAACTATTTTTAAAGTTCGCCTGGTCATGTATTTCTTCAGCTACAGTAATTAATTTGGATCTTAAAGATACCCCAACAGTATTTAAAAAAGGAAAGGATGTTTCCACAGGCGTAGTGAAGCTCTGTGTCTTGTTGTGTTGTCTGTATGCTCGTTTAACAGCCCTCAGCATTTGCTCTGAATCCACATATCAAGTGGCTCATCTGTTAAAACCGGTCCAAATAACACTTGTCATACAGACAAAAAAACTCTCCACAGAATCACCAGCTCCTCATACCAGCACTGTAAGCTGCAAAGAAAACCTGCGGGCACAATCTTACCAGCACTACTTCTGCACCTCTCACAGACCTATCAGTGTCTTTAGACACGGAATTCTCAGGATCTTAAACAGCTTTGCCCTGTTTGGAGGTAAGGGATGCCTTCAGAAAAAGCTGGCTTTGGAGCCTATGAAACATAACAGAAATACTTCACAGCCAGACTGATCTTCAGATAAGTATTCAAAAGAACACACATTTTTAAGAATAATTCTGGAAAACAGCATGACTTAGAAGAAAAGATGCAACAAAGATCTTTTGGCTGCAGCAAGTGCTTCATCCCTGTACATCTATCTCACTGCTTCTGTAAATATTCCCGCAACAAAGGTCACAACACGTCGAAAAACAGATTTGCAGTATTTTCTTCAGCAAACCAAAGCCAGTACATCTTTTCAAGAAGCACATAAACTAAGCAACTGCAGAAACACTATGTTTATCCCATGGGGAAAAAAAAAAAGTTACTAAATTGATATTCAGTATTATAGCATCTTAGAATGAGGACGGTTTCCCACATGAGACTGTCATCATCAACTGTCTGACAAACAGTTCATAAAAGTTTGCCAGTTGATGGCAGCTGTTTGTGCATCAGCAGAAGTTGAAGATGCAGAGTACAAGAGATGAGAAATTTGAACTTCATCTGACAGAGATCTGAAGTTTCGCCACGTAACACCAAAGCAAACCAGGTGTGCAACTTCAAGGAGCGTTCAGCCATCAGCTGATATACTCCAGTATCTCTCCTTGAAAAGCTAGCTGTTAGGCAATAATACACAGCAACGCAAAGTTGCTACCTATCAGTGATTGCTTTTCAGAGAACTGAGAACATCTTGCACATAATCAAAAACCACAGCTTTTTGCTATCACCTTTAACATACAGCTTCTGGCTCACCTTCCAACTGCAGCAACGTATTTAACACAGAACCCTCTGCACGAGGGGCCTTACTGGATCCCTCATGTAGTTTCAGGGTTACTTGGGATAACAAGATTTCTGCTTTAGGAAAACAAGGTGTTCAAAGAAAGACTTATTTTTTTGTTAATCAATTTATTGGTATGGATGTAAGCAGAAATCATAGAACAGAGGGGAAGACAGATACAAGAACAGAAAACCCAATTTTTAATGACTTGCCTTTTCAGAATACTTACACCTCCACTTGCACCATGAATTAGTACGCTTTCCCCTGCTTTGGCATGCCCTCTGAACAAGAAAAGACATACAACATTGGCATGATGATTACAACACATGGCCACTACGTAGCACTGTACCAAATCTTATCTTACGCAGTATTATTCCCAATTCATGTTACGGCTAAGTAAGTACAATCATCCTCTTTGGAAAAACAGGAACACAAAACAAACCACATCATTTATGAATTTAAGTAACGCGCAGTTACATCAACACGCAACAAGCAGCAAGTCAACATCCTGGTATTCACCTCAATGCAAGGTCTCCCCCTGTAACAAACAGGTCTTGTTTATAATAAACTACACTAGTTTTAACCATCTCCTCCACCAAGCGAGACCAGACTTCCACATCTTACATCTCCTCCAGCTGATACACAACTGGCTCTTACTCCTTGTACAGTGCTGCAGCATTTATTACATGATGTGTACTAAGGAAGCCTTTGAAGTCTGTTCTCTTAATATTTCCCTTTCCAGGTAAATGCTGTCAGTAGCTTACAGGTTCTAGCAGCACAGTACATGTAGCTGAAGTTTCTCCACACAATGATGCCTCCACATTCCCTCATTTAACAGGACAATGAAAACATTGGCTTTAGTATTTTAAAAGTTCAATAGCAAAATGCACAAGCTTTAATTTGGCAGCTTACTTCAGGAAAAGAGCACGGTAAGCAGTGAAGTAGGGTATTGCAATCGCTGCTCCTTGACTGAAATTCAACTTATCCGACAAAGGAAAGACAGTATTGGCTTCAGCAACTGCATACTCTGCATATCCTCCAGAGAGCGTAGCAGAGGCAAAAACCCTGTCACCTCTCTAGAAAGCAGGGAAATAAAACAGAGAAATTAACAATTTCCCTTACTTCCTTCCTTAATATACATCAAGAACAAGTTTGCATTCTTCCCAGAAGCTTTCCTATTAAAAACCAACAACTATCTTTGCCACAGAGAAGATTTTTGTGTTATGCATACGATCAATGCCACCAACACAAACCATAGGATTTCACATACTTAGATTCAAGTTATGAGCACACAGCCTCCTCCTCACAGTGCGACACACAACCCTACTGCCCCATTAGTATTAACCTCAACAAATCTCAACATCAGAGAACGGCACCCAGATTCCAAACACAACAAAACCAAAAAATCATTTTTGTAGTGTGGAAAAAAGCCACGCTCTTACTATACCCTGAGCTAACCAAGCACCGTGTCTGTTTTTCAACGGCGATCACAGGGCAGAGGTCACAGCGGCGCTGAGCAAGCACACCTCGCCCTGCTGGGAGCCCGGGCACACAGCCAGCCCGCTCACAGAACGGCAGCGCCCGGCTCTGCAAACTACAAGGAGTTAAAGCCCCGTCAAGTACCTTGAACGCAGTCACGCCTTCCCCAACGCTCTCGACCACCCCAGCCACGTCGGAGCCGGGGGTGTAAGGCAAAGCCGGTAGTCTAGCGTAGTTCCCAGAGCGGATGTAAGTCTCCACAGGGTTTACCCCACAGGCGTGGACCTTAATTAACACCTGAAAAAAATTACATTTGTTAAGTAGCATTTTAAAAGGTTTAAATTTAGAATTGACAGCACGGCATCACGGCGTTTCAACTGAGCAGCAAAGCAGCGCTCAAGTGCTGAGATAAACAACCGGTGCTGCACTCCAGCCGTCACGGAATCCTTCACGCGCAACGTGCAGCCAACGCAACAGCGCAAAAACCCACACGTGTGTTAAATGCCACGTCCTGGGCTGCAAGCGGGCGGACGGCAGCTGCTGAGCCGGGAGGGGCAGAGCTGCTTCGCACGCGGCTGCGGCCGCAGGGCTGCCCGGGCTCAGAGCTCACCGACCTGCATGTCCTTCGGGGCGGGGATGGGAACATCAGCCTGCAGCCTCAGCACCTCGGGACCCCCGAACTCAAACACCCGGACCGCCCTCATCGCGCCCCTTGCGGCCGCCGCCGCCATCGGAACACCTGGAAATAAACGAAAATGTAACAACGATGCATCGACTTCATACTTTATTTTACACCGTCAAAGGAAAGAAACGAAACCACCTCTTCTCAAGCAGAAGATTGAACTCAGCCCCGCTCCCGTACACACACACAAACACACACAAAACGACCCACCCCAAAACGAACCAAGATTCCCCTGACTCCAAGGACCTCACAAGGTTGATGCAGTACGGGCAGAGGCGCTGCGAGAATGGCGTGCGCGGCGCTACCAAACGGACTCTGAGCGCGGTCACGCACTGCCGAGCGGTAACGAAACCCCGTGACGCCCCGCTTCCGCTCACTCTTAAAGCAACAGTCAGAAAACCAGCAGAAGCGCGCCGCGGCCAACCCCGCACCTCCAGACCCGCGGCCGGGGGCGGGATCAGCGCGGGGCGGGATTCGGCGGCACGCCGAGCCCTTCGCGTGCAGAGGTTTGTCCCTCTCGGGCGCCCGTCGGAGCGGCGCCGCGGCCGCCGTAGGCGCGGGGTTGGGCGCCACCCGATGGCGGCGTTCGGGCGCTGGAAGGCGCAGCGCTCAGCGCGCCAGGACTGCAGCCGGCGGGGCGCGCTGGACGAGCGCGCGGCGGGCGTGGTGCGGCTGCTGAACGAGCGCGCGCCGTTCTGCACCACCAGCTCCTGCTCGGGGCGCCTCGTGCTCGCGGAGGGCGGCGCCGCGCTGAGCGCCGGGATCCCGAAGCGGCGCTGCCGATGGCTGCTGGTGGCGCACGAGCCGTGCGGCCGCGCAGATGTGGTGAGGAGGGCGCGGGGCGGCGTGTGGGTCGGGCTGCGCTTCCCGAGCCTCGTGCGGAACGAATGGCACGACGGGCCGGAAGGGAGCGCCGCCGCGTCCCGAACCGTCTCCAGTGGGGAGCGGTGCGGCTGCCGTGGGAGCGCGGTGCCCCCCCGCTCTTAGCGGGGCGCGGAGCTGCCGAGCCGCGGCGGAATTTCGAGGGAAGGACGGCGGGAGCGGCGCGGAGCGGTGGAGCCGCGGGGATCCGCGCAGCGCCTCGGCGGTGCTGTGAGCCCGGGGATCCGGGGCGGGGAGCGGCGCTGGGGCCAAGCGATCCCACCGCAAAGTGCGGAGCAGCACTGCCAGTGGGGGAAGTAACGGCTGCCCTTCGGCTGTCTGTGAGGTCTCCGCGGCACGGCGGAGGGATGGCAGCGAGGTGCCCTGCTCGGAACCCAAAAAACGCCTCGCTGATGCCTGGCGGGGCGATGGCTTGGGGAAAATCCCTGGGTTTTACAGTGAAGGAGAGTTTCTTATAGAATTATGAGCATCTGTGGACTGTTTGTGTGTTATGAGCAATGAAAAATTGAAAGCGGCTGGAAGAACGATTTCACTTGTATCACGCTTGCTGCATTTCTAATGATCTTTTTACAGCTTTGGTAGTAACAGTACAAATTTTCAGTGTTAACTGAAACACTGTATGTTTTTCAGATGGCAGCACTGGAAAACGCCACCGGCAATGTCGTGTTCAAGTTTGAGCCATTTGTTCTCCATGTGCTGTGCCAGGAGCTGCAGGACGCACAGCTGCTGGTAAAATCACAGCAAGCACCACCTGACCTGGTTGTTCTGTGACATGTAGGAGTTCTGGCTCCTGCAGCAGCTCCGGCACTTGAAAGCTGCCCCAGATGTGTTTAATGGCTGAGGCAGTAAGAGCTGATGGAGCAAACACAGTGTTAAATTTACATTATGTACTTCTTTGATATACTTTTTAGAGAACAGCCTCCAGTGTAGCCTTCTCATTGAAGCAGGCTTTTAGCTGGTGAGTCTGGGTTTGATCCCGGTGGCTCAGAGATGGGTTTTCAGACGTTGCTGCTGGTCTGGCTCCAGCATTTCAACTCATGGAGCAGTGTCTCTGCCTTCTGCTGTTTCAGAATGACGCTGGAGAGCAATGCATGATTGTTTTCTTCCTGCATTCATGGAGAAGAGAGTTGGTTGGCTGCTCTTGCAGCACTGCTGAAGTTCTACCTATGAAAGTGTTGTGTGACTGTCCATGTGACTGCCAGCCCATCACAGTCAGGCAGTGCCAGGAGAGACAGGAGTGTCCTGTCTGGACTGATGGGTTGGGATCAGACAGGCCGTCGACTGCAGTTCTTTGAAAACCAACCAAAATTTGTGATATGATGTGGGTTTGTTCTCAAAACCATTTAAATGGTTGAACTGTTACTGCATTCATTAGGGGAAATTACTTCTTGCTATGAAAGTGTACGCAACTTGTTAAAGACATTTATTTGTTTTGCAGCATTCCGTGGCTATTGAGTCTGGGTTCAAGAACTCTGGCATTACAGTTGGCAGAGGAGGAAAAATTATGATGGTAAGTACTTGTCACTTACCTGTAAGGAATGTAAAAGAACGCTTCATTCCTGTTAGCCTCAAATATTTAAGAGCACCAGTCTGAATTGTAATGTGAAACACAGCTGTCATGAGGCATGCAATGCAGAGGAGTAATGTTCTGCTTCAGATGTCAGCCAGCCAAGCAATTGTGTGGGTGTCACTTTGATTATTTTATTTGTTTTTTTTTTCCCTCCAGTGAATTGCTCATATTACCTAAATAACCTTCAGAAGATTTAAAATAACAATAATCATTTTTTTTTTAACTTATTTTAGGGAAATCTTTGTGTTATTTTAGGCTGTCCGGAGCGCTCATTGCTTGGAAGTTCCATTGAGCCACATGGGGAAACTGATGGTCTCTGAAGAATATATTGAATTTCTTGTGCATGTGGCTAATGAGAAAATGGAAGAAAATGCAAGGAGGATTGACAGGTTTGTTAGCTAACACCAATCCTGTCTGTGACATCTAAATCTGAAAGTGAAAAATGCATAGTAAATGTTACGTAAAAATAAAAATAAATTAAAAGAACAAACCCCAGAAGTCCAAATTACGATTTCAATTAATTTTTTTTAATTCAGAAGGCTATAAACTATTGAAGCAGAAACCTGTAACCAACATGAGTTTGCAGGCTGTGTTTGCTGCTGAGTAGAATTTATCTGATGATAACAGCAGCATTTGCTGATCTAATTCAGGAACCGTTTCAGTATTCAGATTGCAGTGCATGCTTCAATCCACTGCATGCTTTGTGTAGTTTCCCAAAGTGAAATATTAGTGTGGAAACTGTAAAAGTACTATAATGTGGAAGGTTATACATTCCAGGAGTCTGTGGTTCTTTTCAGGCAAGGAACAAAATAGGCAGAAAAGCCAAAGAGCACAGAAGGTTCCAAGACCAACTTGCCCCTGATCACCAGTGCCATTGTGCAAATGTGAGATTAGCTGAGTCTCAATGGGATACGAGTATTTCTATCAACTGTTTGACTTCTAATCCACAAGCATTACCAAGAGAAGTGGCATGGTGTACACAAGGACACGTTTATACCTATTTCTAGTTTTCTTCCTGAACTGACTAGGCTGTTGCAACATTAGTCATGGTTTTCTTAATGTGGTTTGATTGTATCACAGAAGCATTCATTTCTCAGAGTAGTTTTTCAGATCCTGAGCAAGAACAAAAATAACTGCACTGCTCTTTCCTAGGTTCTACAAGCGCTTGGAGGCAGCCCTGGAAGCAGCGGGCGGTGTGAGCAGCTCGCCCTCCACAGGCACAGGGCAGGCTCACACTGTGTATGTCCGCAGAAGGAAGAGGAGGACTGGCAGAGTGCAGGATGTGCTCCCCTCTGCAGAGGGTCGTAACGAGGAGTTGGAGCCTGGGCATGACCCAGAAGGCAGCCTTGATATTTTTGCTGAAATCACGCTGTAGGCTCTGCCACTGAAAGGCAAATGGCAAACTGGACAATGTGCATGGTGCTCTTTATAAGAGATACAAATATTGCTCTGTTCTAAGTAGTAACACTGCTGGTTGCTACCAGGAGGAAAAAAAAATAAAAAAGAATGCAAGGTAATTGAACAGAATTGTGAACAGGCTTAAGGCCACAGAAGCACAAGAGAAGAGAACCTCAATGTTTGAGGTTGTTTTCTTTGTTTCTAACTGTGCTGTTGCATTGTCTTACTGCGTAGGTCAGCTATCATAGAGGCCACTGCTTTGCTGCAGTCTCTGGCCACGTTCTCTGTGAAGCATTCCCCTTTCATTGCTGGGGTGAGGCCTGCAGACAAGCCATAAAACTGAAGCTTTTAATTGCTGTCGGAGAGTTGTAGAACTATGTGCAGCAATGCAGAGGGCTTTTCAAAACAGCACGGAGCCACTGCGTCAGCAGAGGTACAGCATGGAGCTGGGGATGAGAACAGAAAACCACAGAAGTACCTGCGGCAGCTCTGGGCCCCTTCCTGACCCTGGCACTGGGCAGCAGGTCGTGCTGCTTTCCTGGCCTCACAGCTCAGGCTGCAGCCACACTGCCATGTGCACTTCCACGGCAGCAGATGCTGAATGGTGGTTTTCTTTGCAGCCAGCACCGTGCTGGTGGTTCATACCTCACAGAGGTGTTTCTGGGGGCTGGGCACAGCTCCAGTCCCAGCTGGGAGCAGGAGGTCACCCAGATGACACTAATGGGCTTCAGAAGGTGCTGTGGTTTGTATAGTCCTGTATTGTAGCACTGGAGAAGTCAGTGCATAATACAGTAGTTTATTGTGCAGAAAAAAAATGAGGAACTTGTAAATCTCAGCAGCACTGAGTTAGGAGCTGTATGGCTTGCAGCGCTGGGAGGGGGGAAGCAGCGTTTGGTGCAGTGATTCGTAGCTCACAAGGTGGGTCACGTACTTGTTTCTATTACATAAACCTGTGAGTTGGGAACATTTTAATTCCACTGTAAAAATTTGTCGTAGTATGTAGGAGCCGAAGGGAAAAGTAATTGAGGGCTTTGAACAGATCCTCAAAGCGCTGCGTCCAGCAGCGGCTTGCCAGAACCAACGGCCGTGTGCCGCGCGGTGCCGCTCCGCGCTCGGGGGCCGCGCTGGCGGTCGTGGAGCGGCGGGGCTCCGACCGCGGGCTGCACCTCGGGCAGCGGCACAGGCGGAGGTGCTGCCCGCGGCTGTCGGCTGCGCGCAGGAGATGAGCGATGGCAGCCGGGGCCGTGGTACGGCTTGTGTTCGGTGCCGAGGGGACGAAGCGCCGCTGTCCTGCAGGGATGATGAAAGCGAAGAAACGAGTGGATGTCGGCTCGGTCAGCTGCCAAGCCTGTGAGGTGTTGACGTACCGCGGGAGCCCCTCCACGCCGGGGCCGGGGCTGCTGCGCGTTCCCGTCAGCCCGCGTGCACGCGACGGCCTGATACCGGAGGTCGGCGAGGTTGGAAGGTCTGAGCAGCCGCCGCGG